GACTCAACATTGTGAAAATGTCAATTCTACCCAAAGTGATCTAAAAATATAATACAATCCCAATCCAAGTATCAATCCCGATCCAAATATCAACAGCATTCTTTAATGAGATGAAAAAACTAATCACCAACTTTATTTGAAAGGAAAGAGACTCCAGATAAGCAAAGGATTACTGAAGAAAAAGAACAAAGCAAGAGGCCTCACACTACCTGATCTCAGTACCTACTATACAGCCACGGTAGTGAAAACAGCCTGGCACTGCTACAATGACAGACACATAGACCAATGGAAAAGAATTAAGAACCCAGACATAAATCCATCCACCCATGGTCACTTAATCTTCCACAAAGGGCCAAAGTCCATTAAACGGGGAAAAGTAGTCTTTTTAACAAATAGTGCTGGCAAAGTTGGATGTCCATCTATTAAAAAATATGAAACAGGACACATACCTCACACTATACAAAAAACTAACTCAGAATGGATCTAAGACTATAAAACTTAAAATGATTAAAGATCATGGAACAAAAGATAGGGACAACACCAGGGCCCTAAAACATGGCATAAATACAACACAAAGCATAACTGACAATGTACAAACACCAGATGATAAACTAGATAACAGGGAGCTCCTAAAAAGTAAACACTTATGTTCATCAAAAGACTCCACCAAAACAGTAAAAAGAGAAACTATAGACTGGGAAAAAATTTTTGGCTACAACTTATCCAACAAAGATCTAAAATATATAGAACACTTCTAAAAATGTATAGAATACGTCTAAAATACTTCTACTCTAAAATGTATAGAATACTTCAATACCTCAACAACAAAAAGACAATCCAGTTAAAAAATGGGCAAAGGATATGGACACTTCACCAAAGAAGACATTCAGGCAGTTAACTGACACATGAGGAAATGCTTGTGATCATTAGCCATTAGAGAAATGTACATCAAAACTACACTGAGATACCAACTCACCCCAACATTACTAGCAGTAATAATAATTTAAAAAAAAACAGAAAATAACAGATGTTGGAGAGGCTGCAGGGAGATTGAAACTCTTATGCACTGCTGGTGGAAATGCAAAATGGTACAACCACTATGGAAAACAATATGACGCCTCCTTAAAAAGCTAGAAATGGAAATACCATACAATCCAGCAATCCTAGAGAAATAAAAGCAGTCACACGAATAGACATATGCACATCCATGTTCATTGCAGCATTATTCACAGTAGCAAGAGGATGGACACAACTTAAGTGCCCATCAACAGATGAATGGATAAAAAATTATGGTACATATACAAAATGGCATACTATGCAATGATAAAGAACAATGATAAATCTGCAAAATATCTCACAGCATGGATGAACTGGAGGGCATTATACTGAGTGAAATAAGTCACTAACAAAAGGCCAAATATTGTATGAGACCACTACTACAAAAACCCAAGAAAAGGTCTACACACAGAAGAAAACATTCTTTGATGGTTATGAGGGAGGGGAGGAGTGAGGAGGGGAAATCACTAACTAGATAGTAAACAAGTGATAACTTTGGTGAAGGGGAAGACTACAAACAATACAGCAGAAGTCAGCACAACTTGACCAAGTCAAAGTCATAGAAGCTTCCTAGACACACATCCAAACACTCTGAGGGACTGAGTTACTGGGGCTGAGGGCCTGGGACCATAGTCTCGAGGGACATCTAGGTCAACTGGCATAACACAGTTCATAAAGAAAATGTTCTACATCCTACGTTGGTGAGTAGCTTCTGGGGTCCTAAAGCTTGCAAGCAGGCATCTAAGATACATCTATTGGTCCCATCCCATCCAGAGCAAAGGAGAATGAAAAAAACCAAAGACACAAGGAAAATATTAGTCCAAAGGACTAATGGACCACATAAACCACAACCTCCACCAGCCTGAGGCCGGAAGAGCTAGATGGTGCCTGGCTACTACCACCAACCACTCTGAGAGGGTCCTGGACAGAGTAAGATAAAACTGTAAAACAAAATTCAAATTCACACACACAAAAAAAGACTAGACTTACTGGTGTTACAGAGACTGGAGGAACCTCCAAGACTATGACCACTGGGCACTCTAGTAACTCAAAACTGAAGCCACTCTCAAAGTCCACCTTTCAGCCAAAGATTAGACAGGCCTATAAAACAAACAACAACACACATGAGGAAGGTGCTTTCTAGTTTAATCAAATATTCTAGACCAAATGGGCAATAACTGCCTAAAAGCAAAGCCAAGAAGGCAGGAAGGGACAGGAAAACTGGACAAATGGACATGGGAAACCCAGAGTGGAAATGGGGAGATGCTGACACATTGTGGAGATTGCAACCAATGTCTCAAAACAATCTGTGTATAAATTTTTGAATGAGAAACTAATTTCCACTGTAAACTTTCACCTGAACCACACTTAAAAAAAAAAGCAAGAAAAAAAAAGACTTTCCCAAAAAAGTCTAAAGGCACGCTACTGACTGAGAGAATATCTTCGGAAACCATTAATCTGACAAGAATCTAATATCCAAGATATACATAAAACTTGGACAACTTAACAACAAAAAGACAAATGACTCAATCATAAAATGGGCAAAGGACTCGAACAGACATTTCACTGAAGAAGACATTCAAACGGCCACCAAATACATAAAAAGATGTTCAGGGTCATTAGCCATTAGACAGATGCAAATCAAAACCACAGATTTCACTCCCGCTAGGATGGCTAGGAAACCCTGGTGGTGTAGTGGTTAAGAGCTACGACTGCTAAACAAAAGGTCAGCAGTTCAAATCCACCAGGTGCCCCTTGGAAACTCTATGGGGCAGTTCTACTCTGTCCTATAGGGTCACTATGAGTTGTAATTGACTGGACTGCAAAGGTTTGGTTTAGTTTGGTTTTAGAATGGCTAAGATAAAACTGAAAATAGTAAGTGTTGGTGAGGATGTGGGAAAATTGAAACCCTTACCCACTGCTGGTGGGAATATAAAATGGTACAGCCATTGTGGAAAACAGTGTGGTGGTTCCTCAAAAAACTAAACATGGAACTACCATATGACCCAGCAAATTCCACTTGCAGGTATATACCCAGAAAACCTAAAAGCAGAGACTTGTACACCAATGTTCACTGCAGCACTATTCACAATAGCCAAAAGGTGGAAACAATCTAAATGCCCACCAATAATGAATGGATAAACAAAATGTAGTAGATTCGTACAATGGAATACCACTAAGCCAGTAGAAAAAAGGAAGTCTTGATACATGCTACAATATGGATGGAGCTGGAAGACATTATGCTGAGTGAAATAAGTCAATGACAAAAGGACAAATACTGTATAACCTCACTTATACAGAAAGATAAGAAAATGCAAATGTATATAGAACAAAGTTTATTTGTGGTTACTAGGAGTGGGAGGGAGGGGAAAGAGGGAGGTTAATGGTGATGAAAATATTGCATTGATTAAGGGTAGGGTTGCACAGTCGATTATCATAACTGATGTCAATAAGTTGTATACCTGTAAAAAGTTGAATTGACAAAAGCTGTGTGATAAGATACATTTACAACAATGACAAAAAAAAAAAAAAAAGAGTAGCTCCTGAGGCTGCTTATGCACAACCAAAAAACCTCATGGGATTTGGTTTCTTGGTTTGGAGGTTTTGGTCATGGTTTCATGGGACATCCCAGGTAACTGGCCTAATAACATGTTTAGTGCTTCTGTTCTACCTCCTAGTTCAATGCATAGTGCCTGGGGTCTTAAAAGCTTCCAAGTGGTCATTCAAGGCACAACTGGTTTCTATTCGCCTAGATCAACAGAGGAAGAAGGAGCATCAGGAATAGGAAGAGGATATGGAATGTGGGCTGAATCTCTCCATGAACAACTGCCTCCTTTGCCAGGAGACCAGAAGAACTGGATGTTGCTGGCTACCATTACTAAACATTTTGATCAAAATGGGGAAAATGCAGAACAGAAATTCAAATTCTCATGGACTCCAGATTTCCTGGAGCCATGAAGGTTGGATGAACTCCTGAAACTACTGACGTGAACCAAACGAAACCGAACCCGTTGCCACCAGTCAATTCTGACTCATAGCAACACCAGAAGACAAAGTAGAACTGCCCCATAGGGTTTCCAAGGAACGGCTGGTGGATTTGAACTACTGACGTTTTGGTTAGCACCTGAGTTCGTAACCACTGTGCCACACCAGGGCTCCTCTACTGACCTGAGATAATCTTTAAACCTTAAACTAAAACTAGCCCCCTGAAGTCTTCTTCAAACCAAACAAAAGTTTAGCTTAACTCGTAGAAAATGTCTGCGTTGAGCATTATGCTCTTTTAAGAACTAACTATATGGGATCAAACGGACAACAGGAACTTGAAAGATTAGACAGGAACCTTACGTGACAGTGAAGTTATGTTACTGGGGGAGGAACAACTCAGAAAAGGAGGATGAGAATGTTTGCACAACTTAAAGAATGTAATCAATGCCACTAAATTCTACACGCAGAAACTATTGAATTGGTGCATGTTTTGCTGTGTATACCCTCAACAACAACAACAACAACAGTCCTACTTTGGCACTATGCCCTCTACTTTCACTGAGGAACAAGAAGCAACATCCTGCATTTACTTCAGGGTTGTTACTGAAAACATTTGCATTATCACCTACATGAAGCCCAACAAAGCTATTTTTCCAAATTTCTGTCTTCAGGCTCTATGAGGCACCAGTTTGGTTATTCTTCTCATCAATGCAACTCTTTCTACTGTATGAGTATGAACTTGCAGCTTGATTTTGAAAAATCTGTAACATCAGATAACACACATCAGTCCACATGCTCACTTTGCTCTGCCATTCATCTGCTCTTCTATATCTTTCCTGAAGAGTCTGACCATTTCTATTTCTACTTTTCCATGTTAATGTACAAACAATTAAAACATTTATAAAATCCATAAGAAAAGAAATACACAAAATAAGAAAAGGTGTTAATAAATAACTTACCTTAAGTGTGTTCATTTTTTGCTGCTCTTAGAAAGGTGTAGAGGATTGTGAAGGATAACCTGGGGGGTAAGAAAAGAGGAATGGAGTCATGAGGTCTGATCAGCTCCTAAATTCACCTCCCTAACAATCTGCTGGGAAAAGGCTTCCCTAAAGGGAACTGCTCCTTTGACCCTTGAGAAGGGGCAGGAAGCACAACATAAAGGAAGCACCTCTTGAATATGTACATCTCTATGTGATCATGTGGGCTTAAACTTTCAGTTTCTCATTTCATGAATATAAATTTTTTCCTATTGATTTATTAACAATTTATGCCCACTCTAATTAACAAAAAACTACAATAAAAATATTAATAATAGAAAATCAACAGAAAACTAAAGAAAAGATGGGATACTTACCGACAAAGGGTATTTAATCTTTTTATTCTAACTTGGTTGTAATTTCTCAAGAAGACATTTTAACAAGACACTGCTGGTGACTCACCTGTGACAAAGTAAACAGCACTGTGCTTTGCTCCTAGTTCTGTGCTGGGTGACCCTGGACAAGTCACTCATCTCAGGCCCAATATTTTTTTTAGCTTTCGAAAGAGTCAGAAATAGAAACTCTTTCCTGTAATATCATTTTGTGATTCTGTATGTTCAAGTTAGAGGCAGCCTCAGAATCTCTTAAATGCTGCTGTGGTGATGGAAATGGTGTGAGAGTGGTAGAGAACCTGGAAAAGGAAGAAACAGGACTGTTTAGGTTTCCCTCAGCTCTGGCTGGTTATGCCTTCCCTGGAAACCATGCCCTAGCAGCCCTCCAGTGAAGTGGCTTTTCCTATGCAGCCTAATAGCCACCCATTCCTTTCAACCCCAGGTCACCACCTTCTGCAAGTTGGTCTATAGTGTCCACTGTCCCACACTCTGTGATGGTTTCTGGATGTGAATGACATCATGAAGTTTGACTTACTCTGGGCAGGGGGACCAAGAACTGCTTCTGGTCGTGTGAATCAGGACCTGCTCCTCTCTGGGCTTGGCTCTTCTGACTCTGCTTTGAAGTATTCATGAGGGGTCTCTGTCACATGGACAGGCCCCCAGGTGGGCCTCCTGTCTCCGGGGCTCCCTCTTTCCTGCCTCCTAAGAGCTGCTTTGTTACAGGTCTGGGATCTGGGCCTGGGTTACAAATTTGCTTTAGGTGAAACCATCATCTACAGCAGGGTTTCTCAATCTCAGCATTATTGAAATTTTCAGCTGGATAATTCCTTGTTGTAGGGGGCTGTCCTGTGTGCACTGCAAGATGTTTAGCAGTATTTCTGGCCTTTACCCACAAGATGCCAGAAGCACCCACTCTACAGTTGTGACAACCAAAAAATGTCTCCACACATTTCCAGAAGTCCCGTGGGGAGCAAAATCGCCCCCACTTGAGAACCACTGATGCAGGTTCTTAAACCTAACTCTCTTGGAATTCATTACAACTGTGCTTTACCGCAGCCACTAGCCACATGTGACTACTGAGCACTTAAAATGTGGCTAGTGCCACATGTTGAAATAACATTTTAGATGTACTGGGTTAAAAATATATTCTTGAAATTAATTTCCCTTGTTTCTTTCTACTTTTTAATGTTGCTACTAGAAAATTTAATATTATATATGTGGCTCATCTTATCTTATCTGGACAGCACTATGCTAGAATATCAGACCATGCCTTCTGAAGAAAGGGAGAGCCTGGACAGTGCAGAAGGGGCCAGAAGCTTCAGCTTGATCCAGGGGCTCTAATGAGATGACAGAAATCCAGAATACATAAACATATTTGCCACATAGTGAGATTCTGTCCACACCTTCTTCACCTGGGGATTTGGGGACAAGTCTCTCTGCTAAGTGCTGTGAGGGCTGCAACACTGAGTTTTAGGGAGGTAAGATGCTAGAAATAGCCTGGTTTGGGAGTAAAGCATATCTGTACTTTTGTATCTTAGCTTCCTCATTCTTTGTGACCTTAGGTATATTATTTCACACCTCTGAGCCCATTTTCTTCTCTTTTAAAATGATATATATAAATAAGGTGGTTGTGAAGAAATGAAATACTAATGCCTTCCAAATACGATCGGAGTCACCATTTACATATTAACCGGCAATTGGCGAAATGCTTTACAGGCGATGACATCTCTCAGAACAGCGCCACGAAGGTTTACTAATATTCTCTTTTTTAGGTGAGAAACCTGACTCTTACCCAAGTGACAGCGTTGGAATTTACCCGAGTGTCTCTGGATCCAGAGCTCGGGCTCTCGCCACAGGCCCACCACCCGCATTTTCCGGCAGGTTCACGATGCACACTATAAAGGCACATTCCCCTCCCGCCGCCGGAATGGGCTTTCGCCGGTCGGGCTGCAGGCTGAGCCGGGCCGACAGTCCCCACAACCCGGCTGCACCGAGCACCGCCACCTGACAAAGACTCAGTCCCACCTGCGCTCCAGGGGCCCGCGGAGTTGGAATTCGCCCCCACAGGCCTTTCTCAAGCCGGGCTCGAGCACGGAGGCTGGGGTTCCACCTGAGTGATTTCCAGGACTTCTCGATCCCGCCCCTAAAGTACAAGCTGCTGACCTTCCAGGTCGACAGGTCGCGCAGTGCTCCGCCCCCATTCCCTCACCTGAAGTGCGCACCCTCTAAACCCGCGTGCCGGCAAGAACGGAAGCAGGAAGGAGGAGGGGCTGGACTACACATGCGCAGAGCGAGGGCGGAATACCGGTTCCAGGATGCCGCGCGATAAGCCCATAACGTTCAAGACTACATTTCCTATAAAACACCGCGCGTGCTCCTAGTGATTTTTCTTTTTCTTTCTCTTTTCAAAAAGCATTAGGAAGTTAGAAAATGTTGTCATAGACAATCTGTGTTAATACCTGGAGCCCAGGTTCTCCTAGAGCCCTCAGATGTGATGGGTTATATCTTATAACAGCAAATGGAATGTGTGGCTCTCCATCGGGTCCTGGTTGGAGAAAACGAGCTGCAGAAGACATTTCAGAACAATTAGGGAAACTTGAATACATCAACTGGATCTTAGAAATATTAAGGAAAGTTACCGTTACTTTTGTTAATTTTAATAATATTGGCATTATGTAGGTAATTTTATTTTTTAGAGATGCATATTATTTAGGGTTGTAACATGTATTTGTAATTGCCTTTAAAATATTCTAGCAAAAACAATTAGAAAAGGTAAATATAGCAAAATGTTAGGAATTCTTATATCTAGAAAATGGGAATGCTTATTTACTATTTTCTACCTCTCTATGTGTTTAAACATTTGTAATATAAAGTTTATAAAGGTAGAAATTTGGGCAGTTCCTCCACAACTGTGCCTTTTTAATTCAGAGCTGCCAAGAGAAGTAAAGATATATGTGAACTGCTCTTGTGAATAAAACTGTGAAATGTAAGAAATACTAGAAAAATGGAGCCAATCATTACCATAAAAAAAAAAAAATCTGTGACCCTCGGAGTTTATCTCTTGGGGAAGGGGAAAGGAAGCAAGTAAGTTGTTCACATTTAGGTAAGCAATACCTGAAAGTACACACAATGCAAAATAAGAACATGATTATCATGCAAATTAGGCATCTCCTAGAGACGAATTTCCTTAAAATTTATGTGTGCACACTTCTGACTTTCCCCCCCCACCAAATTAGGACTCTCTGAGCACAGTATTATATGATCCTCTTTTTACTAAATAATATAGATATAGCTAGCTATATAACTATACATCTATTTATAGCTAGCTAGCTATATAACTAACCGGAACCCGTTGCCATCGAGTTGATTCCAACTCATAGCGACCCTACAGGACAGAGTAGAACTGCCCCATCTACCTATCTATATACTTTTTCTTGGTCAACATTATTTTTTAACATCAATTATATTTATATGCCAATGATAAAAAGAAAGTTAAGTCTCTATTGGTAAGAATAAAAAGGATTAATGCAATCAGTAAGTTAGTGCAACTTATGTGAGTCAAGGTATAAAACTTTATTCTGTTGACACTGAGGAAAAAGTTTTAATAAATGCCCGTTTCCTAGGCAAAAAGACTAAAATTTCTTTAACAAAATTCCAATCAGAATTCTCAAAAAGTGTTTTTCTCTTTGACATTTTAATATTTTGTTTGTTAACCTAAAGGAACAATTCCAACTTGCATTTAAATAAAAACTTATAGTAATGATCAGAAAAGAACTGAAAATGCACAATAATGCTTCTGTATTTATATAGATGCTGTCACCGATTGAATTGTGTCCCCCAAAAATATGTGTCAACTTGATTAGGCCATGATTCCCAGTATTGTGTGGTTGTCTTCCATTTTGTGATTGTAATTTTATGTTAAAGAGGATTAGGGTGAGACTGTAACGCCCTTCCTTACTAAGGTAACTCCCTGATCCAATGTAAAGGGAATTTCCCTGGGGTGTGGCCTGCACCACCTTTTATCTTACAAGAGGTAAAAGGAAAGGGAAGCAAGCAGAGGGTGGGGACTTCAAACCACCAAGAAAGCAGTGCTGGGAGCAGACCTTGTCCTTTGGACCTGAGGTTCCTTCGCTGACATGCTCCCAGACTGCGGAAAGATTGATGACAAGGACCTCCCTTCAGAAGTGACAGAGAGAGAGAGCCTTCCCCTGGAGCTGATGCCCTGAATTTGGCGTTGTAGCCTACTAGACTAAAACAGAATGGACATCTCTTTCTTAAAGCCATCCACTTGTGGTGTTCGTTATAGCAGCACTAGATGACTAAGACAGATGCTATTGCTAAAATATTAACAGATTGGTCCTGGTGCAACAGAAGTTCAAGTCTAGGAAGATGAGAAAGTGAGAACCTAGTATGTGTCAGAGCTGGCGTTTAATGCAACGGGAAAGAGAAGATTCAATAATCTCCTTACGGCAAAGAGGTGCTTAGGTGTGTAGCGTTATCTCATTACTTTAATACATATATATATAATTACTAATGCTGCTAACCAACAGGTTGGCAGTTTGAATCCACCAGGTGCTCCTTGGAAACCCTATGGGAGCAGTTCTACTCTGTCCTATAGGGTCACTATGAGTTGGAATCAACTCAACGGCAACGGGTTTGGTTTTGGTTTTCGGTTAATGATGTTATGCATCTTTTTATATGCTTACCTGACATCTATATATCTTCTCTGGTGAAGTATCTGTTCAGATCCCTTACCCATTTAAACAAGTTGTTGTTTTCTAATGGTTGAGTTTTAAGGGTTCTTTATATATTACAGATACAAGTCCTGTATCAGATGTGTGATTTATAAGTACTGTCTCTCCAGTCTTTGTCTTGTCTTTACGGTGTCTTAACAGCAAACAGCTTTTTAATATTGATGTACTTGATTTAGCAGTAATTTCTTTTACAGTTCATACATTTGGTGTCATACATAAAAACTCACTGCCAAAACCAAGGTTACTTAGATTTTCTCCTCTATTTTCTTTTGGAAGTTTTATAGTTTTACATTTTATATTTCAGTCTATTTCCCATTTTGAGTTAATTTTTGTGTAAAGGGTGAGATATGAGTCAAGGTTCATTTTTTGTATATGGACATCCAATTGTTCCAGCACCATTCATTGGTAAGACTTACTGTTTCTTCTATGAATTGCCTTCTGATATATGCCTATTCTTTTTAGATACCATACTGATTGGATTATTCTAGCTTCATAGTACTGCCAAGTCTTAAAATCTCACAGTGTGAGTCCTCCAATTTTGTTTCTCTTTTTCAGAATTGTTTTGGCTATTCTAGTGCTTTTGCATTCCCATGTAAATATTAGAATCAGCTTGTCAGTATCTACAAAAAAGATTCCTGAGATTTTTAATGGGATTGCACCAGATCTATACATCAAACAGGAAAAAAGTGATACCTTAACAATATTGAGTCTTTCAATCCATGAAAATGGTATTCTCTCCACTTAGTTAAATCTTGATTTCTTACATATGTGTTTTGTAGTTTTCAGCATACAGATCCTGCACATAATCTGACAGATTTATACACAGGCCAGACTTCCTTCTCCCTTCTTTCTCCCTCTCTTCTATGTGCTGTTGTGAATAGATTGTTTTCTAATGTCAAATTCTAGTTGTTCATTGCTGGTATATAGGAACAGCATTGACTTTTGTATATTGGCCTTTTCTCTCATGAATTTGCTAAACTCATTTTAGTTAAAACTCCTTTTTTTTTTTTTGAGATTATTTGGGATTTTCTACAGAGACAATCTTATCATCTGCAAATAGGGATCACTTTTTTTCCTTTTCAAACTTTTAACTTTTATTTTCTGTTCTTGCCTTACTTCACTGGTTAGGACCTGCAGAATGATGTTGAATATAAATACATCACACTATTAATATACCTATTCTAGACATTTCATACAAGTGGAATCATACAAGATTTGTCTTTTTGTGATTGCCTTATTTGACTTGTTTTCAAGGTTCAGCCACATTGTAACATGTATTAGAATTGTATTGCTTAACTGAATAATATTCCATTGTATGAATATACCACATTTTCTTTATCCATCTGTTATGGATTGAATTCTGTCTCCCCAAAATGTGTCAACTTGGCTAGGCCATGATTCCCAGGATTGTGTGATTGTCCACCATTTTGTGATCTGATGTGATTTTCCTTTGTGTTGTAAATCCTACCTCTGTGATGTTAATGGGACAGAATAGAGGCAGTTATGTTAATGAGGCACGACTCAGTCTACAAGATTAGGCTGTGTCTTAAGTCAGTCTCTTTTGAGATATAAAAGAGAGAAGCGAGCAGAGAGACAGGGAGACCTCACACCACCAAGAAAGTAGTGCCAGGAGCAGAGTGCGTCCTTTAGACCCAAGGTTCATGTGCTGAGAAGCTCCTAGACCAGGGGAAGATTGATGACAAGAGCCTTTCTCCAGAGCTGACAGAGACAGAAAGGCTTCCCCTGGAGCTGGAACCTGAATTTGGACTTCTAGCCTACTAGACCGTGAGAGAATAAACTTCTGTTTGTTAAAGCCATCCATTGGTGGTATTTCTGTTACAGCAGCACTAGATAACTAAGACACCATCCATCTCTTGGATGGACATTTGGGTTGTTTCCACCTTTTGGGTATTGTGAATAATGCTGCAGTGAACACTGATGTACAAGTATCTGTTTGAATCTCTGCTTTCAGTTCCTTTGGGTATATACACTTAGGAGTGGAATTGCTGGATCATGTGGAAATTCTGTGTTTAACTTTTTGAGGAATCACCAAACTGCTTTCCATAGGAGCTGTACCATTTTATGTTGCCACCAGCAGTGCATGAGGCTTCCAATTTCTCCACTTCCTCACCAACATTTGTTAATTTTCCTTTGATTAAAAAAATGTTTTTATAGCCATCCTAGTGGGTGTGAAATGGTTTCTCACTGTGGGTTTCATTTGCATTTCCCTAGTGACTAATGATGCTGAACATCGTTTCATGTGCTTATTGGTCATTTGTGTCTTCGGTGGAGAAATGTCTATTCAAGTACTTTGCCTATTTATTAATTGGGTTGTTTGTCTTTTTATTGTTGAGTTATAGAAATTCTTTATATATTCTAGATATTACGCCTTTACCAAATATATGATTTCCAAATGTTTTCCCACATTCCGTAGGTTGTCTTTTCA